TACTTTACTATTTTAAATATAAACTTTAACTAAATAATAAAAGTTCATGAACTATTAGTGTTATTCAGTTTACATATCCACTTTGGAACTTTTGTCAACGAAATTACTCTAATACTAGGTGGTTGTCCGCAATTTTGCGGGTATGAACATTTTATTAAAAAAAATATTATATTATCTTTTGATGAAAATAAAATAAATTTTTAATATTCAAAATAAAATTTTAGTTTTATTTAAAACAAAAATTGTTAAGTGTAAGCTTATATGAAATTTCTAATGTAACAAATTTTCATTTTAATTTTTTTGCATGTTATATATTTTCTAATGTAATAAAGTTTCATTATCTATATATTTCGAACCGTTTATATAATCGTTCTAGTAGTATATGTATTTATATGTATATTTAAATTATACAATATAATCTTGATGTTTAATTGTTTCTATAAATAAATTATGTTAAGTCATTTATATTAAGATGCTTAACTGTCTTTTTGGTAACATATATTAGATAAGATAATTTTATGATTAGTTTCCTTTTAAAAATTTTAAATAAATAAATGAAAACTGAAATACCATCAACCAATCAAATTAAAATAATTAATTCTAAACTTCACCTATGATTGACATCTAAGTAAAGTTACTTAAATGACTTCTTAATTAATATATATAGTAGGATGAGAATAGGATACTTTACTAATCACTAGTGGTTAATCCGCGCTTCGCGCGGAATATTTATCAATTGTGTAACATAATATTTGATAATTTTTTATAAGAACTAATTGTGTATTGTGTAAATGAACATTTGTAGCTATCCGTTAACAAATTACATTCAAAATGTTTAAATTTGTCTAATTTGGTTACCATTATTATCAAAGAAGTGCCTTTGAGTGCATAAGTTATATATACCCTTAAAGTTTAGCTATTTTATTGATCATTTGTATTTTTATTTGCATTATTTATATCACATATTATTATTAGGTGATTTTTGAATAATTCTTCCAAAGGAGACGGATAATATATGTATTATCTGTAAAAGAACATAAAACTTGAGTCGCTGGCAAAATTCTCCCCTAATCTGAATTATACTATGTGTAGTAGAAAAGAATAAATATTGTAATGTATTAGTTTGAGTTTATTTAGTATGAAAATATCCTCCAAAAGTTTATATTTATAGTAATTTTTACTTTGCAACAGATTTTGTGTTAAAGTGAAAGTGAGTAGAGATGTAGTATATTCATATTTGTAAATAATATATAAGTGAAATTAGTACAATATTGTGGTTTTAAACATGCAGTTCCCACAATTCCAATGGGATTTTAAATGTAATATTAACGAAGTAAAGATTATTTAGTAATTTGAATTTAAAGTTTAATGTTTATTGTTTTAGAGTTTAAAGTGTTTCGGTCTAGAGTTTAAAATTTAGAATTTGGATTTAAAGTTTAAATATTTATTTTATTTGTTAAGAAACATTTACTCCTATTATAAATAAGGGTTATAAGGGAATATATATATACAAATGGGGAAGTAGCCGATATTCCTCTTTCTATTTTCAACGGTTAGTTTTGATGTTTACTGTGAGTTGATATAATGTGTGTGGTGTGTATAGTTCTATTTTTATCCGAGCCAAACCGTAATTTTCAGTTTTTAGCTCAGTTATGATCATGAGTTCGGTTTTGTTCGGTAGGGTTTTTGAAACTATTCAGTGTTTGGTTTGATTTTTTTTTAAGTATATATACCAAAATATCAAAAATATCCAAAAATAACCAAACCGAATTAACTAAAAATATCTGAAATAACCGAAATTACCAAAAATATCCAATTATTTTAATAAAATTATACCAAATTCTAACCAAGAACCAACAAATTTTTATTTTTGAAAATAAAATTGAAATTTGAAATTAACTGATGACCGTACATAACCAAAATATAAATTGATTAATTTCAGAATTAAATTCAAAATCACAGTTAACTGAAAACCAAATCACACGTCTAGGTGTGCACAAAAATATAATAGGTATAAAATAAAGTAATGTAGTCTCTCTTAAATCTTGTACAAACAACATTATATTAGTTTAGACTCTTCTTTAGATCATTCTTCTTTAAAAACGTTTGAAAAATCCACCAGTGCATTGTGTTGTCCACACACATTTTAGTGTTAGATGCATACATGATACATGCATATATAGATATATTCTCTTTTGTTTGTACATTTGCTGCTAATAATTATTTTGGAGCAATTAACTGGCTGTAATTCGTTGAAACTCTTTTAGTTTGTGTCTTAAAGAATCTAATCCTAACTTTCTTAGACACAAGGAACTCTGTCATTCATTTCACAAAATTATTTGTGTGCAATTCTTTTCTCAGCTCTCACAAAGACAAATCCAATATGAAGAAATCCATTTAGATCATTAGTTTACATGAAAAACATGCTATTGAGAATCAATACCCCATTTAGATTAACAATACATGTATGGCTTTTTTCTATGCTCCAGTTGTTTTAGATAATGGAGTTTGAAAACAGGTACATGCTTTACCTCCCTTCAAGAAAATTGTCCATGATCTCTTTATCTTCTTTTTCTTACCAACTTTGTCGCCCATTCAAATGAAATTCACTTCCACTCTCGGAAGAGATGGACCGATGACTGGTCTCCTGCATAAAGCTTAAAGCATCACCACACCAAAAGAGTAAAGATCAGAGTTCTCAGTCAGTTGTTTCTTAGTCAAGTACTCTGGATCTAGATAACGAAAGCTTCCTTTCACCGGCATACTCACATGTGTCTGGTAAAGATCCATATCAGTCTTAGGCAATAGAAAGTCTGCAACTTTGACATGACATTATCATCCAAGAGAACGTTAGCAGACTTCACATTGCTGTGTTTGATGGCTATTGGAAAACCTGTATGGAGATAGCGAAGCCCTCTAGCTGCACCAACGCATATCTCAAGCCTCTGTCTCCAGCTCAACCTCGGGTTATCTGACGCATAAAAATGGTCCTTTAGCCTTCCATGCTCCATATACTCATACAAGATTAAAGAAACGAAATGCATGTGTATGAACTGAGACAACATTTCAATCCCTGTCCTGCATTTTATTGATGTAAAGCTATAGCTGATTAGTATTTCTGTGTTTAAAATATTACATTCTGTGTTTTAAGATCCATATGGTCCAAAAAAATTGATTGATTCTGGCGATAGACCATATAATACAAATGTCAACTTTCCTCGTTTGTCCTTTAAATCGGGGATCCTGCACTGAAAAAGACAGAATGGTTCGATCCACTTTGTATTTTTTTACACATTCAGTCTTTCATCAATGCAAGAGCAGAGAAGTTGGTTTCAAACCTCTGGATATGGTCTAGTATTGGAAGCCTTGTCCCTGGTTGGATTCTCACATCTTTTACTGCGTCATTCATATTTGAAAAAGTATCAAGACATCGTCTTAGTTACAACACAAAATAAACCTTCAAGATGATATATATACATATCGGTGAGAAAGTAAAGAATAATAACTCACTTTGAAAAAAATATTCCTCAGAAGATAGCAGAACGAGCAGCAATGGTGGTTGTCCTTGCAAGCCTTGGCTCACCAAAGAGTAGGAAAATCCATATCCTAATACTGCTACCACGTTGTCAAAGTCATTGAATAAATAGTAACTTAATAAACTTCTGAAGCTAAATGGCTCGTGAGCTAATACTTACGTGATTCCACTTTCACAGGTTCAAGATCCTCAAATTCTATGACATAATCTTGATGTGGAAGCTGTCAAAAGTATATCTTCATTCATCACACATACTTCTTTGTCAAGCAAGTCAATCACAAAAGTTCAAAACTTCCAAGCGAGTGAGATCGTTATATAGAGAAGAAATACAAACCCAATTTACCGAGGGAGAGATCTCGACTCCCAAAACCTCAACAGGCGTATCTCTACGGTGGTGCTACAACAACCTTCTTTCAAGTCGGAGAACATGAGAGCGAAGTTTGTTATTCTAACTTCTAAAAGTTTGGTAACGATTGAGATTAAAGAAATGATGATTTTCACAGAAAAAAACTCTTATATTTAAGTGTAGATTCGCAGAAGGGAGTAAAACAGGGGATGTATTGAATGATAAATCGTGCGAGGAGTTGCGAGATTGTGTTAATGACAATGATTGAATGCAATGGAGTTCTGTAACGGTTCTGGATTGCGCTAGCCACTTAGAAGAACTTGAAGCGACACGGACGGCGGTTTCCACCGGAAATGATCGTTCCCCTTAACCCAATCGGAGTTTCATAGTCGGTTTGATCAACACAAGTTCATTGACCAGGTCTTGGAGAAGAAGACAATTTTTGTAGATTAAGGTAAAATCTGGTTAGTAACTTTCCTTCTCACCAATCGATAGAGGCCCAAATAAATTGCATCAGAAATAATTTAAGCCGAGTTCAAGAAAACAAAACTGGAAGAAAAGTGACGTCGTGAGTATTTCTGTTAAGTGCTTAGGTGTCATTTTTTGCCCCTATCCAGCTGCTGTGTGGCACAAGGAGAAGGGAGAAAACCCAACTTTATTATATAAGATTTAAAGTGATAATTTAACTATAATATCACATTGCAATTACCGGGAAAAGAGCCTATTTCAAAATGAACTTTACCAGTCGTACCTTTTCATTCATGAACTTTGTAGTAGTGCGTATTCCATATTGAACTAAACAAAAACTAAAAAATACTACATGAACATTAAGGATCGTGCATTTTCTTTTCTGAACTTTATTGTAGTACATATTTCACACTGAATTAGAAAAATATAAAAATACTACATAAACTCTCAAAATCGTGCCTATATATATAAACTGTCAAATTTGTTAGCCATCCGTTAATTTATCAAAACGACATCATTTTAGATACATTTTCTAAAATTAGAAATTTAAAAATACTACATAAACTTGCGAAATCATGCTTATATATATTAATCATCAAAGATGTTACCCAGCCGTTTATTTATCAAAACAACGTTATTTTTGATAAAGTATGTAAAATCAAAAAAACAAAATTGGGGAGGTTCGCACTTTTAAACTGGTGGATAAGTAATTAAGAGCATAATAACTGGTAGACCAAAGTAACTTTCTTTTATAAATTGTGTGAACATTAACATATATATAAGTTTTTAATCAAATAAAGGTTAACAAATTTTTACTGTTTTAAATTTGTCAAATAAATCTGTAATTATCTATGTATTAAATTTAAAACAATTATTTTTTAAATTTAACTTAATTATTACTGTATTAAATTAAATAATAACTTTACACTTGTCTGTTTGTGTAAAAACTCGAACATCCCATAATTGTTTAGGTTTGTAAAATCTATCTCAAATGACGTTGATAAAATAACAGATGATTAACACCTTTGACGGTCAATATATATATATAAGCACAATTTTAAGAGTTCACATAGTATTTTTAAACTTATTTTACAAAATTTATAAAAAATGACGTCGTTTTGATTAATTAACGGATGGGTAAAATCTTTGATGATTAATATATATAAGCATGATTTCGTAAGTTTATGTAGTATTTTTAAATTTCAAATTTTAGAAAATTTATCTAAAGTGACGTCGTTTTAATAAATTAATGGATGACTTAAAAATTTGATGGTTTATATATATAAGCAAAATTATGTAGTATTTTTATACTTTTGTTTAGTTTAGTGTGGAATATGCACTACTACAAAGTTCGGGAATGAAAAGGCACAATGAGTAAAGTTCATGTAGTATTTTTAAGTTTTTGTTTAGTTCAATATGAAATACGCACTACTACAAAGTTCGAGAAGAAAAAGGCACGGCTGGTAAAGTTCAGGTTGAAATAGGCATTTTCCCGTCAATTACCATGATTGAAATTTTTAAAACTATATATTTGACCGATTTGCATTCATTTGACATATTTTTATAATATAAGTATATAGTAAGTAGAAATATTATTAGGTTTCTATTTATTAGTTTTATTCAATATATGATTTATGGTATCCAATATAAATATAATATATTTAAAATCATTTATATAATTGTTTATGTAGTATCATATGTATTTATGTTATAAATTTATATAATGTAATCTATGATAATCAATTGTTTCATCAAAAAATATGTCCATTCTTTTAAATTTAAGATGTTTGATTGTTTATTTGGTCACATAGATTAGATTAGCTAATTATAAGATTAATTTATTTTAAAAAACTTGATTTAAATAAATGAAATTCAAATATCAAAAACCAATTAAATTAAGATAATTTATTTTAAACTTCACCTATGAGTGATACCTAAACAAAAATCATTAAAGTGACTTCTTAATTAATATATAGTATGATGGCAAGATCTTTTAAGCTGTTTTGGCATCCAATAACTTTACATAACAAAAAGTGAAAACTAAATTTTAATATTATTGACTTACAAACTTGTTCAAATATAACTTTTTGGATATATAGTGTGGAAAATAAAATAAAAAGGGTAAATTAACCTTTTTTAGAAAATAAAGAGTGAAGCTGGAAAATATTGTCCAAGTAACTAAAAACGGATATGAACGAATAGTTGTCTGCAACTAAATCCAATAATACACATACAATTTCTCAAATTCAATATCCAGTTTATAGTCTACTCAAGACATGCTACAATTAATGGTAAATACCTTCTTGGGTTGCATACGTCGATGCATGTTGTAATTATGACTCTTCACTTTTAAGTTGCAAAAAAATTATGTCTCTCACCAACTATAGCTTGATGGATTACACGAGGTCTCCGCTTTAGAGAGGTTAAGCAAATCTGTTTGTGCATGATGCAACTAGAAGACCTATAAAGCCTGATGGCATGACTGTTTATTCCATGATAAATCTATAATTTCATACTAATGACTGTTTTCAAATGAACAAAAGAAATAATATATCTTCTGTATTCCAAATATGGAGCCGCATAAAAGTATGATGGCACTTCGTCTAGTTAGCATGTAAGATACGAATTTCGTCTTGTCGCTATGTACTGGATAATGGGAGAGTTGACTTGTTAAACACTACGATCAGCCTTGGTACATCGATGGTTTATCAAGACTCAAGGATAACATTTTGTTGGCTTATACGACTTTTCATTCCGTAAAATCCAGTAACCCGTGTAAGGAAGATTTCATGGCGATTATAAATTACATGAACGATGTTTATGACCGAGTGAAGTGAAATTCTCTAGAAGCACAAAACATCTTCTTTTGTGCTAGTGTGTATACAGAGATCCATATGAACATTATTATATAGATTAATTTTTGGGGGTAACTTTTATTGTTTCTTTAACTTATATTTATAAGAAGGTCCAAAATCTCCCTTTAAGAGAAACTTCTTTGTTCTTTACTTCTTTTGGAAGAAAAAAATTAGTGACATAGACACCCAGCTGGTGTCGTTTGCTACATTTGGTGTGTGATTCAGATTCAGCCATCTTTACCCAATATCTTCTCAATGATGAATATATTTTGGATTTTAATGTGCATCAATTATTATCTTTCTCATAAATAATTCATACTCTCTCCTTTTAATGAAAAATGCCATTTTGACATTTCTAGATTAAAAATGATTGAAATACTTTATTTTATTAATCAAATCAATTTAACCAATAATGTTTGAGAAAAATAGAAGTATTTAAAAGATTAATGCATTTTCAATTAATATTAAGCTTAAAAATATTTATGGATTGAATGAAAATTTTAAAATGACACTCTTTGCCTAAAACTTGAAGTATTTAAATAACATTATTTATGAAACAAATGAAGTATAAAGTTAATTTTATATAAGATGCATGCTAAATAATAATTTAATGTGTTTGTGTCAATTTAACTATCTTATCTAAATTATGTACTACGTAAATTAGTTTTAAAATTTTAACAAGAAAATTTGGTATGGACATTCATATTTCGGTTGGCCTAGAGATATGATTTTTTGAGTGAAAAAGCAATTGATCATAAATTGATTAATCTTACAGATGTAATATTGACTGCAAAGTTTGACAGAAAAAAAAAAGATTTCAGGAATTGACAGTGAGAGATGAAATTATATTTAATACATTGAAGTTGGATAAATACCTAAGTAAGAACAAACAATTTAATCATGTTGAAAATACTACTGTCTTTATTTTAGCGAGTTTCGAGGCTCGGATCCATAGTGATTATATGTATAAAGGAGTATCAGAGTGACAAATCGACACCTCTTATGCCTTGTATTCTCCAGAAAATACTTCAAAATCCTTGGGCATATCTTTAGAGAAAATCACAAAACAGACGTTATGGAGCGTCAACATTTTGCAACTATCAAATTCTTATCCAAATGATTGACTCTAAAACTATTATTCAACAAAATTAGTTATTTCATTTCATTTGCTACGAGTTGATAACAGAAGATAGTTCACTTTGCAT